ATCTTTATTTTTCATAGTAAAGGTAGAAAATAAATAAATAAATATAAATGAATCATTTAGTTTTATAAAATAAAGATAAATGGATCATTTACTTTTATCCATTATTATAAATGAATAATAAAACTAAATTAACACCCCTAGTAGGGAACCAAAATATGTCAGGTATTTGAATCCTAAAATTTTCCTATCTCTGCGAAAACTTCTTCGTTGGTTCTGAATATTTTCGCATATAGGTAAATCAACGTGCTCTACAATCTGGCAGTGCCGAAATATGTTCAGCTGAAAGTTCATAATGGGTCTTCGGACACCCGAATTTCAGAGACCTACACCAGAAGAGGTCTAGCTGCAGAAACGGATATCAGATTCGTGATCAGCATCAAAGAGTACCCACTATCGTGTATATTTTAAGGAAAAAGTGATTGGACACTTGAGAAGGTTCCCTCGTTATATATATACACGGCAAGAAAAAAAGCGCCTACTAGAAAACGTCGACGAAAAAGTATAGTAAAAAAAGTGGGCAACAAGAGTCCACAAGAAAAAAGATTAATATAAGCATAGTATTTAAGCGCATACTGCATAGATGAATCGTTTCACTGCACTAGCTTATTTCAGGAACGACTGATTTCCTGCGATAGTGAATCGATCCAGCAGGTCTGACGTGCTTTCAAAGTATAGTACGATCAAAACTGAGTCAAATATTATTTGAAATTATTAAAATTTTGTTTTTTCATGTGACTAAAAGCATACGAAAAAATTTGTTCACACAAAAAAGCGTTCAGTAAAAAAGCATACCAAGATGTGACGAAAAAGCGTCAGCTTTTGGACATTTTGTCTTGCGAATCTGAGGATCAAAGAATAATTTAATTTGGTCAAAAAATGAGTGAGTTATGAGCGATTGATTACACAATATATTTTTCATACTCCTCTTTTCGTTCTCTTTTCTGTAGAGAGAGACAGAAAACGACAAATGCGAAGCAAATGTCAATAGAGATATATCTTAGATATGTGTATATCTCTGTCTGAATGCTACATAAGAGGCCTACTAAAAGAAAACTAAAGAAATTTATTGTTTGACAAAAAGATTAGAATTTGCCAGTTTATATCAAAAATTTATCGTAAAATTGGAAACATAAGAATCCCCCTAGTGAATGTACTTGAACATAGGCACTCTGCTACAGTAATGTCATAGATGCTTGTAAGTAAAATATTATTTAGCGGGTACATACATGGTCAGCCATTTTAAGTGATCATGTGAAGATAAAAACGCACGCCATTCTTGTAAACATATGTCGTTCTTTTATATATGTCTGAATACGAAATAAAATGGTGAACGGAAAAAAATTTAGGTACCTATTTAGGTCCAGTGCAAGTAATTGGGTACTGCTCAAGTAATATTTACTTGAAAAAAATTCAAGCACCTATGACATTTCTGAAGCAGGATGCCTGCATAGGTACCTAAGAAAAATACAAGTACTCGGATACCTATCGTCAAGTACATTCACTAGGGCATATTTTAAAAGCCTTTCTGCAAATAGTGGAGAAGTTAGTTATTCGATGAGAATATGCCATTTTATTTCGATGGCTATCGCCGCAATTTAAGCATTTTTGTATTTATATACAAAAGTCATACTTGGTAACGATGACCTACAAACACGGATTAAACTAAATGAAATTGCAGGTTCGTACTATCCACTTTCAAAAAACAGGAACAGAAGAGGATTTTTCTCCTTCGAAAGACACGAAAGTTAATAATTTTTTTTCAGAAGTACAGGAAACAAGCGAAAGCAGAAAAATGACAAGTGAGATTTATCACAATGTGTTATATAATGGCGTAAACTAAAAATTCATTTGACGTTATTTAAAAAATTTTATACAGCATTCAAACATAGTCATAAATATCAAGCTTATATCTCTTTTTATTTATCCGTCCAGTATTATTATTGTTATTTTCTTCCATCTTCCTCTATACGTACAACAACTAGAAATGGGTGGAACCAGCCTTTTTTTGATCCCGTTTCCGTAGAAAATTGATTGGTTCCGATGAAAATTTTGGCCATAGAACATGAAAAAATTTTCCCCTGCTGGCGGAAAGTTCAATGCGGCTTTTTACTATTGTACTGCGTTGTGGAGCTTTCTACGGCCTTGCAAGAACAAATTTGACAGTAAAACGAGTTTGAAACTCTCATTAGAATTTGATTCTACAACGAAAGTTTTACTTTTATGGAATCAGTTTTGTTGTGCCTGGTCCCGGTCCCAGCCGCGTCAGAATCGGGACCGTCCCGCCCGTGTCTAACAATAATATCATACTTCATTTACTTTTCTTTATTCTTCACTGCTTCTTTTTCATTTTTTAAACTTCTTTCGTTTAGTATTTCGACATGAGTGTGTAGAATTTATACAGTCAGTCTTTATGAGGACATTCTGGTCCTGACTGTAAACGTCATTTATTTTTTAATCTCTTCTCTTGATTGACTGAAAGAAATATTTGATATATTGATATATTGGTTGACTGAAGTAAGAATATTTGTCTAGCTGGCTGATTGGATTCACGTAAGAGGCAGAAACTTTCTAACAGATTTCACCCCAGTAAACAGTAAGACTGCAGAAAAACGTCAAAATACTGAAAAAACAGGATGTTCTCATACAAAAACAGGAATTACAGGACAAATACGAAGCCTGAAATTGCTTCATCAACAATAATTAGTAAATAAATATTTTATACAGCTTTTAAGTATGGTTTGAGACTAAAATCTATCTTAAGATATTTTATTCAAAAACAAAATGTATTGTTTCAAAAAATGAATAATGTGGCTATTACAATAACTTTTCAAGTACCAATCTATTATCTTTAATATCAGGTTTCTTTTCTATCTCTATAAACTTATAATCATATTTTACAAGATATACTATCATATTTTTGAACTGATTACGCGTTTTTATTACAGCCATTGAGAAACCTTTTTCTTTAATCCACCGTTCAGCATAAGTCATTAAATGTTTCAAAATACTTTGTCGATATTGTTCTAGAACACCAGCTAATCATATATAAAATGATACATTATCATTGTACCGATCGTAACACACCAAATAGCCAACAGGTATAGCTTCATTCGTATATGCAACCACAATTAAACGTTGTTTACCATGAAGACGATGAGAAAAATAGTCAGTTAAATCATTGTATTGACCAAATTCGTCAATTTGTGAATGAACGAGTATCGCATCTTCAATAGTATTCTCTCGAATTTCCATATTCCTCGAAACTTGTGTCTTAAACAATGGTAAGCATGAGTATAATATGTTGAAATTCTTCAGTTCAACTTTTAATACAGAAGGTAAAGTTTTAATGCCAGTTTACCTTTCTCCCCCTCCTCAAGTGAATAGATTATTACGCTAGGCGTTTTCGTCTTCCAAGGAACACATAACTCTTTTAAGATTGACCAGGTAAAAGCACGCCGTTGCGGTAATGTAGAAAAAAACAAAACAGACAAGAACAACGAGAGAGACAGGCTTTAGAGCGATAATGAGGAAAGGACATCTTAAACTAAGCAAACTAAAATCTAAAAGTAGATGTAGTTGTAGTTTAGAAATATCTGCGGGAAAAAATCTGAAATGGTTAAGCTTCTCCCTATAAAAAAAAGCAAACTTTCAGTGCGAAACTTAAAGGAAAAGCATCCATCACTGGAGCAAGCGAAGAAGTAGATATACAGTGTTACAGAGATCACGATCTCGCTCGATACTTAAACTGGTTTTTATTTTTGATTACTATGAGGATATGCGTACATATGAATACATTTTAGGGACTAATAACCACATTAAGCACATCGGAAAAAAAGAAAAACTGTTCCTATCATATACTCGTTTTCTTCACTGTTAGACATAGGTCCTTACACACGTAAAAAACATTATATTCTTACTAGACAGGGATGCCAACTAAAAAAGAAATAAAGAGGGACAAATCTAGGAAAAAGAGGGACATAAGAGGGACTTTTTCTTCTACAAAGGGGGACAAGATAAAACGCTGAGATAAAGCTTTTTATTTACATTTTCTGAACATTTATTTTTAAAATCGGACATT